CGACGTGAAAAGCGCTATATCAAATGCAAGGATTATTATTATTTTGTTACACAGTTTCAAAGGCATGAACTTGAATTACTCACCAGAGCGGGAGGGGTGGGGAGGAGTGGGGTGGGGAGGGGAGGAGGAGTGGGGTGGGGAGGGAGGAGGAGCGGGGGAGGGGCGGGAGGGAGAGGAGCGGGGGTGGGGGGGGTAGCGGGTGGGACGGGGGGAGCGGGGGAGGGGAGGGGCCACGTCATGTGCAGCTACCTTCGGGTTTGTGTTTGGTGGATGGCCTTTTATCTGGGGGTGGGTGGGGGGTCAGTCAGGGTGTCCTTGTCCGGTTGGGACCACACAACCCATTAGGGCTTTGGCTCACAGGGTTAACAGGAGCTGAGTGGGATGACTCCCTGTCTGAACTCGTGCGCACCTTCTCCACCCCCCTCCCTCCCGCTGAGCTAGTCTGGGCTCCCAGTTGGCTCTGTGAAACACTTTGAGATGTCCTCCAAACATGAAAGGTGCCGTACAACTGTTAAGGTTGTAGCTGTTTTACAGATTGAATTGTTAAAAACTTAACGAGGCGCTTGAGGCAATACGGTCACATCTTAGGGGTCATTTATAATGGGAGAGCGTGTCGAAGCAGCAGATTGAATGCAAAACCTCTCCTTTTTCTCTCCCTGCTGCCATTCATTATCATCCGGGGAAACCTCACCTCCCAGCAACAATTGACTGAACTTTAATTATTACTCCCCTGGGACCCATGATCACACTGACCTTGCAGATGGAGCACTACCATGTTTAGTGGGTGATTGACAAACAAAGCAATTAAACATTGACAATGTAAAGAGTATGGATGTTGGGTCCTGTTAACAATTTTACCGCTTGTAGTGCAGAGTTCCACATTGTGGAGCTTGCATGTTCAGTTATTGATTTTCAGCGCTTTGGGATGTCCTCCTGACGTGAAAGGCGCTCTATAAATGTAATTTTGAAATGCAACAGTACTGCCAACAGCAGAATAATATGCAGTGACTGCGGCAGGGGGAAGGGACGAATGAAACTAGCTTGTTTGTCCTTTGTAATTTAGGTTACACCTCACAAACTCCACCCAATAAGCTTCAAATATTTAGATATTGTACTGCAAAGAAGAACTGTTTGAGATATTTAATATAACTTAAATATTGCCTAGCTGGATTAATGGGGGAGGAGGGGGAGATCTGGTCCAGCGAGCCGGAATTTCTTTCTAAGTAAATGCCGGTACCGGGGGTACTGCATTTACTAGCTTTTTCTGGTCCTGGCTTTTACTAGTACCAAAATATGCCAGTAAATGTCTTTTGACAACGGACAAGCACAGGTTTGATCCCTCACTCAATCAAGAACTCCCTGCGAGCTTCACGGTGGATTTGTAATTGTTTTGAATCTGGGAGCAGAGGATAGTGAATGAGCTATCTCCTGCTTGCGGGATTCAAACAGAGTCAAAGTCAATATCCCTGGCCACTGAAGGCCAGAAAGCATGCTGAGGCGAGGGCACGCAATAGGAGAGTGGGCAGGCTGGAGACCACACATGGACCACAGAATTTTTTAAATTTTTAGATTTCGGACCCAGTATAACTATGTACAAATTCTGGATATTCTGGTATTCCGGAGAGCCAGGCGTATTCCGGAGAGCTGGGGGTATTCCGGAGAGCAGGGGGTATTCCGGAGAGCAGGGGGTATTCTGGATAGTGGGGGGGGGGGTAGTTTCTGGATAGCTGGGGTGGAGTTTCTGGATAGCTGGGGTGGGGGGGAGTGGAGTTTCTGGATAGCTGGGGGGGGGGGGAGGGTGGTGGAGTTTCGGGATAGCTGGGGTGGGGGGGAGGGTGGTGGTGGAGTTTCAGGATAGCTGGGGTGGGGGGGATTCTGGATAGCCAGGGGTTACTGTAATAATAATCATTGCATTTGGTATGGCATCTTATCACGTCGTCGAAAGCGCTTCACAGGATTTAATATAAAGTGTAGTGACTGCATATTTGTAGGTGAATAAGGCAGCTAATACACATCCCACAAACAGCCACAAAGTGAATGACCAATTGCATTCGGGGGATTGTTGGCCAATACCATGGGTGAAACCCCCTTCTTGTTTGTAATGACTTGGGATCTTTAACTTGCACTTGAACAGGCAGATGAGACCTTGGTTTAACATATCCAAAGGATGACACCTCTGACAATGCAGCACTCCCCAGCTCATTGTCTATGAGTTTAATTTATTACAGATCTAAAACTTATCAAACTGTACACTTTAATAAAAACTAGAGGATTGGAATTTTTCATGGCCTTACTCTGAAGATAATTCCTTAAAATTCAACATTCTGCAGAATTTGGGATCTTTTAAATTCAGGTGTAATTGGTAACCTTTGATTTGAGTGGTGGTATTTAATTGGCATTGACAGTGGTATTACAATTTGGTCACCTATAATCTGGCATTAAAAATACACTTCATTAATAAAAAAAAGTTAGTAAATTAACACATGCTCTCAGGAGCAACAAAACGTTTCATCCATTTATTTTGATTGGCATATATATCGGATCACTTTCCGGGGTGATAATCCATTCCCCACCCCCTCAAAAAATGTGATCGCTTTATCCACAATTGTTTGTGGGACACTGCTGTCCACAATTGGCTGCTGCGTTTTCGCCCACAAAATACAGTCAATCCACTTTACAATATATTCTGTGAATATATATATTGAGACATCTCAACGACATGCTCGTACAGTATAAAAATCCCAGTAGTGATTGTGGTATCAGGTTACCCTCTGCTGGGTGCAAGCAACATAACAAGCTTAGATCAGGTTTCATTCTTCTGCAATACAAATGTAAGATCCATTGACATCCAACCCATCCAGTGTAGGTCTGTTAGGTAAGCAGGAAGTATCCCTAAAGGGGAAGATTGTGTGTAACAAATATTTCCAGATACAGGGAAATATTTGAGTGAAGGTGGCATGCATGTATGGAACACAGTCTGGTCTGGACAACAACAAATTACATTTGTATAGTGCCTTTCACGTCAAGAGGACGTGGCTACTATTAATCATGGCGCAAGGTTGAAATAAGTCAGACACTACTGACCAAATAAAATGAATACAAATCTTAATTGTTGCTTATTTTTCATCATATTCTATTTTATTTGTCTGTGATATTTTCAGTGTGCCCTTGAATTGTGTAGTTGTGGCTGTGTCCCATGATTCTCTGCAATTCTTCTCCCTTTTCCTATTTTGAAGTTACACCCTCCCCCAACACTCTCCCCAACATCCTCCCCCAGCACCCTCCCCCAGCACCCCCCAACACCCTCCCCAGCACCCCCCCAACACCCTCCCCCAGCACCCCTAACACACTCCCCAACACCCCAACACCCTCCCCCAGCACCCTCCCCAACACCCCAACCCCCCACAGCACCCTCCCCAACACCCCCACAGCACCCTCCCCAACACCCTCCCCAACACCCCCCCTAACACACTCCCCAACACCCTCCCCAACACCCCCACAGCACCATCCCCAACACCCTCCCCAACACCCCCCCTAACACACTCCCCAACACACTCCCCAACACCCTCCCCAACACCCCCACAGCACCCTCCCCAACACCCTCCCCACACCCCCACAGCACCCTCCCAACACCCCCCTAACACACTCCCAACACCCCCCAACACCCTCCCCAACACCCTCCCCAGCACCCTCCCCAACCCCCCCCAGCACCCTCCCCAACACCCTCCCCAACACCCCCCAACACCCTCCCCAACACCCTCCCCAACACCCCCCCAACACCCTCCCCAACACACCCCCAACACCCCCACAGCACCCTCCCCAACACCCTCCCCAGCACCCCCCAGCACCCCCCCCAACACCCTCCCAGCACCCCCCAACACTCTCCCCAACACCCTCCCCAGCACCCCCCCCAGCACCCTCCCCAACACCCCCAGCACCCTCCCCAGCACCCTCCCCAGCACCCTCCCCCAGCACCCTCCCCAGCACCCCAACACCCTCCCCAACACCCTCCCCAGCACCCCCGCCAACACCCTCCCCAACACCCCCCCAGCACCCTCCCCCAGCACCCTCCCCCAGCACCCCAACACCCCCCTACACCCTCCCCAGCACCCTCCCAGCACCCCCCCCCAACACCCCACAGCACCCTCCCCAACACCCCCCCTAACACACTCCCAACACCCCCAACACCCTCCCCCAGCACCTCCCCAGCACCCTCCCAACACCCTCCCCCAGCACCCTCCCCCAGCACCCTCCCCCAGCACCCTCCCCAGCACCCTCCCCAACACCCTCCCCAGCACCCCCCCAACACCCTCCCCCAACACCTCCCCCAACACCCTCCCCAACACCCTCCCCCAACACCTCCCCCAACACCTCCCCCAGCACCCCCCCCAGCACCCTCCCCCAGCACCCTCCCCAGCACCCTCCCCAACACCCCCCCCCCCCCATCACCCACACCCCAACACCCTCCCCCCCAACACCCCAACACCCTCCCCCCCAACACCCTCCCCCCCAACACCCTCTCCCCCAACACCCTCCCCAGCACCCTCCCCCAACACCCTCTCCCCAACACCTTCCCCCCAGCACCCCCCCCCAGCACCCACACCCCAACACCCTCCCCCAGCACCCCCCCCCCCCAGCACCCACACCCCATCACCCTCCCCCCATCACCCTCCCCCCAACACCCTCCCCCCATCACCCTCCCCCCAACACCCTCCCCCCAACACCCTCCCCACCAACACCCTCCCCGCACCCCCCCCAGCACCCTCCCCCCAACACCCCCCCAGCACCCACACCCCAATACCCCCCCCCCAGCACCCGCCCCCCAACCCCCTCCCCCACCCCAACCCCCTCCCCCCAGCCCCCCAACCCCCCCAAACATCAAATTGGCCGATCAGATCGTGACAATAGGGATTTTAAAGCAGGCAAATTATTTAGTGTTCTGTAATGTTGTCAGCTTTTTGATTGATTCATTGGAGCAATTGTTTTCTTTCTGTCCCCAGGAAGGTTATCGGGATGGACTAAATGCTGGCAGAGAATCCACCTTACAGGATGGTTTTAATCAAGGCTACCAAGAAGGTGCAAAGAAAATGCTTGCCGTTGGGCAGCTCAAAGGGATTCTCAGGTTAGATTTAGAGTTGATCTGATGGAGTGTGCTGCTTGCCTTTTCAGAATGTCTTATGTGTGTATGATGATGCCATCGCGTGAGGAACTCACTCTCTCGGCAAGAGTATGTCCTTCTTATATTGCATAAAGTTGTAGTTTCCTCGTGGTATATATAGAAGGAAAGTTTTGTCAGACTGATAGTCTCTGACAGGAAATGTCTGTTACTAGAGAAAAACTAAGTACAGTATCTGTGTTTTCTCCTCAGTGCAGTGCTGTCATGGTGTCAGCTAAACAGAAGCGATCCTCATCTCATAACCCAAATAAACCAGCTCCTCAGTGCTGCTGCTCAACAGGAGGAAAGCATCTTTGGAAAACTGAGTGCAGCCCCTCCCGAAGCTAGTGTTGGTGATATAATGGAAAGCATTGAGGAAATGGGATTGGATCCAGTCCTGGAGAAACCAGAGGCAGGCTGTTGTGGCAATGTTAAAGGTGAAAACTGCTGTAACTCTCCTTATGAGGTTAGAACATGTGGACTGGACAATACTGCTTCCTCGTCACAGGAGGTATGCTGCAGGACTGTGTCAGACCCTTCTGGTGGAGCAAAATCTCTGAAAGGACTCTGTCAGGATTGCGCGATACTGTTAGAAAACTGTGGACTGCCAATGGATATAGCACATCATTTTCAGTTGCAGAGTTAGCCAGCCTGTGTTTTCCATTAATGGAATGCAACAGTATTTAAAAGCATTTTTAAAAACAGTTTGTTGAGTCTTGTTTTTGAACAGAAAAATAGAAACCGTTATGGACACCCTGCACATAATCATGTCAGAATTAGTCAAACATACCACCAATATTATTGACTACAAAACGGAAATCAGAGCCAATGGAAGCCGTATAAATTTCTACTCAATTTGACTTGTCTGGTCAGAGAAACTGAGCTAGGACATTGATGTTTACAAGGAATGGTTGGTACAGATCAGTCGTGCAAGGAAATGGAAGTCAAATAAAAACTTAACTACCTTTTCAGGATTGACATAAAGACTAAAGTCCTGTTCAACACAAAAATGCTACACTAGCAAAGTCCCAGAAAATAGCCATCGCTCCTTTCTATAGTTTCTATTTTCTATTCCAACATGTTCAATGTTGCAGCTTTTTGAAAGATCATGTTAAATTTTTTTTCTTCTTCGTCTGAAATTATTATTTTTCAAAAATGCAGAATTTATAATATATCAAGCACATGTCCCTCATGCCCAATATATTTACGTGCCCAAACACTTGTCAGTGGGATCTAAAACCCGTTAGTAATACAGGAGCCACAAATAATGTGTCGTTGACTGGATCTACATTTCAGCCACCTGCAGGGACTCTGGAACTGGATAGATAACACTGTCTAGCTCTAGAATTGACGATCTTACAGATGAGGGTATTAACAGTTTTAAACCTCAGTATCTTCAGTTGAAGATGACAAAAAATACTAAATCTTTGCATTTGTTATAGTGACTTATCATAGTATCGAGGCGTCTCAAAACGCTTCTCTTCGATCATACCTTTAGTCGCCCTCCCACTTGCCTTCCCTCACCCCTACCTACAACATCCTGCAACACGTATGTGCATGCCTGATAGCAACATGCCCACTCAACCACATCAGCGCTGAAATCCAGGAAGTAGTCAACAAAAGTTCATAGAAAATATTTAATTGCGAGTATTGTGTCCACATCAACCCCTGAGTTTTTCTCCTGCATGAGTGTTTAAACTGGAACTAGAAGACTGATCAGATACACTCAGAGAAAAAGAGGGGGAGAGAGAGAAGTTTGGGGAGTGGTGTGGCACTGATAATTACTTTGTGACTGCTGGAGAGTTTTTGTGTGATCTAATACTGTTCCCATTATGCAGCTGGTCCCAGTTAATGCAGATAGTTAGCTCTACTGGAATTATGATTAATATAGTGACCTATATATATATTGGTGTTTGGCAACGTTAACAATTTTTCTGTTTTGTACGGTAATGAATCTTGTAGACTTTAATTTTTAACTTTTAAGAGAAAAGTGAAGGTTAATCATGATTCTCATTTTATAAGATTTTGCTGAGTAAAGTTCAAGATTGTGAAAAATCATTTAAAAAACTGGCAGACTCTTAAAAATGTCGGTGTTCTCTACTTTTTTTCCTCAAATAATTTTTAATGTAAAATCATGGGCGAAGTTAATCTTATTTGATTTTAATTGACTAAAGATAATTATACCACCTGCTCACTTTCACCTTGCCACAGCATACATTATTAATCTACTCACTATTTCTGCCTGCTGCTTTATAAAGAACGTGTTGCAATTTGTTTTTGTGGAGTCCTGTAGCTCAGTGGTTAGAGCACTCCCTTTGTAAGCGAGAGACCTGGGTTTGATTCCCGGCAGGGCGAAACCTTGGGCAAGTTTCCTTACTCCACACACCTGATAATAATCCCTCAAAAAAAATAATACATTGGTCATTTCAATCCACGAGTGTTTGTGGGACACTACTGTGCACAATTGGCTGCCGCATTTCACCCACAAATAGTCAATTCACTTTACAGTCTAATCTGTGAAGCGCTTTGAGACGTCTAGAAGATATGAAAAGAGCTATATCAAATTCAAGGATTATTATTATTTCTAGGTAACACAGCTGCTTTTTGTGCTAGCAGTATCCAATAAACAACCATTGTGAGTGACCATTTAATCTTGAGGACTCTGAGCTGAGGAAACTCCATTCCCTTTCCTAATACTGTAATGTCATGGGATCTTTAATCACCTGATGAGGCAGGTGAACTTTGGTTTAACATCTCATCTGACAAGACGCATTTCCTACAAATCAATGCTCCCTCAGTACTGCTCTGGAATGTCATCTTCGATATGAGCTCAAATCTCAATGAGTATTGAAATTCTAAAAATTTCAGTCAAATTATGTAGCATCATCAACTTAAAAAATGTGTGGATAGCCTGATTACCAGGCCAGTCTGAAATTGATGGTACAGAACCCTGATACAATACTTACAATGTTTGAACAGAAAAGACATCCAGACACTCTGTAGGCTTGTGTATTTTGTTAATTGTCATGATTTTCAAGTAACGAACCAAAACATTTACAACTAATATATGATGTGGGAGCTTCTCTGGAGGCCTCTGTAACTGCTGCTTCCTGTGTTTGAGACTTCTTGTAGATTGACCTCATTGTGACTGGGATAGACATGGAACTGTTGGGAGAGGAAATGGAAATTTGTCAAAATGTTGCCTTCGTTAAGGAAAACCAACACAAGAATTTTATGTATAATAATAATGCCTGCATTTGATATAGCGTCTTATCACGTCTTCGAGACATCTGAAGCACTTTACAGAATATACTGTAAAGTGAATTGACTGTATTTTGTGGGCGAAACGTAGGAGCCAATTGGTTAGAACAGCATTACAATGTAAAGCAAACAATATTACTAACCATAACACAGTCTCGGAGCTACAAAGAGATGGACATCTTTTTGAAAGGATTGTTATAGCAGTCGGCTGGAGTACAGTATCAAGCACTATTTGATTTGAATACATAACAGTATTCCATACACAAAGACATAATTAAATATCTTCCATTTGTTATGTTCTTATGGGATATAGTACATAGGTAGTTTAGGACATATGTGCATGCGACCACCAGGAAGGTGGAAGGCGAACTAGATGGACCTTGGTCTTTTGTCGTCTCGTATTTCTTATGTTCTACCAGGTAACCAGGCCAGCAAGAATAAAACCTAGACTGCTCAAGAAAATAATCCTGAGTCATGTAGTGACTACTTCTGTAAGGAAAGCAATACCTAGAAAGATAAGCACAGTTGAAGTAACGTCAATTCTGTGACAATCTCCCATCTTCCTGGTGGATTGGGGACTTAGATAAGCACCTCCTAACGAAAAATATAGTGTGAGCTGGAAAGGAGTCCATTTGAGAAGAGTTAAATATTTGAATTGTCGATTCTTTCTGAAACCATTGTAAAGATTGCTTTGTCTATTTGCACCAGTCAACATAGTTTTACACAATTGCTTTTCACACATGTAATTACATTTACAAACTCACTCTTGTGCTTTTGTTCTTACCGGTGGATGACCCTAGTAATATGAGCATCGCTGCAAACGCAAGCAGCTGATGATTTCATCATGAGCTGACAGATGATCTCTCTGGAGCTCACCACATCCATCACCACTGAAATAAATGATATAAAATTACACATCACATGTCTCAATTTTCATGTCCTTTAGAATACAGTACGTGTGGAAAACAAACCCTCTCCACATACAATGACTTCAGTCGTGAAGCCAACACGGAAACAAGCTCCAATTTAAGTTTCTTCCCTTTCAAACTGTAGGTCTCTGCAAACTCTTGAAGAAAGTGTTTTTTTGCTATTGAGAGCTTCTGTGTTTCATCTTATTGCTGAGGCTAGATTTTATTAAACTTTTCCATGGTTTCTTCAATTACCCAAAACATTATTTTCCATGTATGGGATGAGCTGAAGAGGCTCACAAAAGCTTTAGATATTCCTAGGCACACATATGGACAACGTCCTGATTAGCAGAGTGTGGCCGTGCCTTAACAAAGTAGTTGTAATCCACAAACTATCCATATTATTATTATTACAAAATCTTGGACCATTCTGGAAATGGATTGTATCTTAGACAGTAAAACTCACATAAGTCTCATCTTTATAAATCTTATTGTACATACTCAAGTTCCATTCAATTTCTTATCAAAACGACTTGGATTTATTTGCACTACTCATGTTAGTCACTTCCTAACTCGTAATACCCCTCCTCTATCCTCCAATACTACCACCACTTGAATCGTGGGAATTGATGTCCTGACCAGTCGACAATGTGCACTTAGCAGCAGATCAGAGGATAATATAATAATTGAATTTTCTAATAGGATTCCTTAATGAGGAAATCCAGTAAAAAAAAGTCATGGCAAATGGTGGCAACTCCACTACGAATGTAGAACCTAATATTAATAGTAGTAATAATAATAATACTTGCATTTGATATAGTGCCTTATCACGTCTTCAAAATATCTCAGAAAGCTTCACAGGATATACTGTAAAGTGTAGTGAATGTATGTTGTGGACGAAATACGGCAGCCAATTGCGCATAACAGTGTTCCACAAACAGTCATGATTGAGTGACCAAATTATTATTTGTTTTTTGAAGGGATTGTGATAAGAGGATAAATAATGAATCCTTGTATTTGAGGCTCCATTTTATCACATCCTCATGATGTTCCAAAGAACTTTACAATTTTAAAGTGTAGTGACTATTTGTAGCCAATAATAGATTCTAATATTCATCTAATGCCATGAATGTAGAATCAATTGATATACAGGCACCTTCCTGATCAATTGCTCCAGAAATGATAGAAGAAACTGTCAGGAATGAATAAAATGGCAAGAATAGGCTTTGTTCATAAACTTGGAAATGTTGCTAAAAATAGTCTTGTCCAAATCAGTAATAATTTTTTTTAAAAAAGCAAGAGTTCAAAAATCTACTATGGATAACCAAATTCAAAACTTCTGTGCAAAGTTTTTGTTGACGGCTACTTATTTTCATACTCGTAACCTGATTTTCTATCTATTGTGTTGGGACTTCCGATCCCGAGAGTCCGAAATCCCAACAATTGGCACGCTTCATTCATTATACATTGAATCCATTACCATAGTCAACTTTGTCAAATCCAAAAATAAAGACAAAGTGGCCTGTCTTCGGGCAGGATTTGAAAGTAGAGAGCAAAAAGGAGTGGTGAAGGGATTTTGGAAGAGCGTTTCGGAGGACAGGCAAAATGACTGATCAATCATCAATGGTGTGAAATGGGTGGGGCAGTCACTAGACAAGACAGTTGTCAGCACGGTATTCTGCAGGACTGGAACAACATGCTTTCAAAACACTGGTGGCTAGATTACTACGTTAATAATTTTATCAGAGCAGTTCTCATCTCCGCCCTTGTCCTGCTACTCATTTTGCAGAGAGGAAGCACAATTTCTAGCACGTGCAGAAGGATTTCTAGAGAGCGCAGTAGACTACTCCAGCCCTCTGCAACTCTCTTCCAAAATCCCTTCACCACTTGGTGTTTCACCGTTTGAATAACCTTTAACTCCAGAAACTACATTCTATTTAACTTCCCTTGCAAGAGGAGGAACCTTTGATCTTCAGTACATTGCTTACCACAAACTAGGCTCTCGTCGGTTGGATGCTTCAATGTGAAGCTGATGCAGGTGTCACTCAGTGAGTAAATTTCAAAATGAAGGCATTCAGAATAATCTGTATTCAACAAAATAACACCATCTTCAACATTACACTTTAGAGAATCTACAAATGTTGCCAGAATTAATATCAATGCATTATAAAACGCAGTAGAGTTTACCCAGATATTCTCAAAAAAACGAGACAGGATGTTAACTCATCTCAGCATGGGTGGAGACAGAGGCACCACATTTGTCAGGAATAGGCTTGGGGGAAGGTAACTAAAATCAGGTCCCCATTTTTGGTACTGTATAAACCATACACACGTGGATTTCAGGAACAGACAGATCATGCTCAGATCTGATGCCTCCCAAGCCAAATATTCTGTAGGCTTCCACTGGAACAATGATCACTTGGCTGAAATACCAGAGAGCTCCATTGTTGAATTAATAATAATAGCATTTGATATAGCGCCTGAACACGACATCGAGACGTCTCAAAGCGCTTCACAGAATAGTGAATTGACTATATTTTGTGGGCGAAACATGGCAGCCTATTGTGCACAGCAGTGTCCCACAAGCAGTCATGAATTGAGTGACCAAAGTTTCTTTTTAAAAAAGAGCTACAGCAAACAAATGTTATTTGTTCAACAATTTGCCAATTCTGCACACTCTAAAATGCTGCATAAAGCATAATCTCGACAACGAGAGTAAATCTAGATCCAGTCCTGAACAGACACAGTGTAAATATCAGTTCTATTATAGGACTCATGCTGTATCAAATTAATTTCTATGTTATTTTAAGTTTTGTTTTGTAGAAAATCAAATTGTCAAACTGTGCAGTTAACATTTTACCACAAACTAATATACACTTACCTTCCACAGTTACTGTTTCCCGTATGAAACTGCTAATCAACGTGTTGCAGGCTGCTTGGTGTCGAAGGACCTCCAATATTTCAGGCACTTGCTTTGGATGTGAGAAAGGAATCTTACTAACCAGGGCACCTGGCTTGGTGGAGTCCTTATTAAGCATATAGCAATGCTGTTCCTCACCTGGAAGGGACTTTTGGGGAAAAAAACAATCATCCTCACAACTTAACTTAGCAAGAGACCTGGGTTTGATTCCTGGCAGGGTGAAACCTTGGGCAAGTTTCATTACTCCACATGCCTGATAATAATCCCTCAAGAAAAAAAACAATAATAATTGGTCGCTTCAATCCACGACTGTTTGTGGGACACTGCTGTGCGCAATTGGCTGCCGCATTTCGCCCACAAATATACAGTCAATTCACCACCTTACAGTCTATTCTGTGAAGCGTTTTGAGACGTGAAAAGCACTATATCAAATGCAAGGATTATTATTAACTTTACATTGTACACTCAAGATAGACGTGTATTCATCAGGTGATGTCACTACATTAATAATTCTCTCAGACATTTTTGAGAATTTTTAAACGAGTTGAGAATATAAATCGTTCAGCGACCAACCTATTTGCATCTTAAAAGCAAATAAAATTTATCTTCGTGAAAGTACAAAATACCAAATGCTAAATTAAAGGAAAAAGGCTACCCTCGAGTGATTATAATTGAGCTTCAAAAATGCATGTCCTCTGTTAGACATTAAATATCTCATGATTGCAACTGTTGATGGTAATACCAAACATTTCTGCAGTCAGGTGATCAGTGTAGGGATTTGATTCAAAGTTATTTAAGCAATTTAAGTGGATGGACAAAGGAGCAGTAGATTAAACTTAATAGGGATAAATACAAGTTAAGGGGCATTGGTCTAAATGTAGAGTTTTATGGACAAAATGAAACGATTAACGTATACAAAGCAGAAAAAGGTAACATCAGCCATCCACCTCCAACATTTTTTGCTAACAAACCTTTTAAAGGACAGTATTGACTGTTAGATTTGAGAAATGTTTGTAACCTAAGGTAAGAATTATAATATGATTTTTAGAAAGAGAGCTATAAGCGCTGCATATAGTACCAGAGAAGATCACAAACAGTGTTTTAGTGTGGGTTTATGGACATACGTCTGTGAATTTAATGTTTCTGGATGCTTACCACAAAGAAACACATAGATTCCCAAGGATTTGTAGTAATGTTTCTTTCAGAAAGGAGAGCCTGTGCGATAAGTCCGTGTAATGGAGCTTTCTGTGTGTCAGTTTGTATTGAGATTCCTGTGTCAGAAAAGATAAGATTCAGAAATGATCAAGACATCACTGAACATAGAAAGCAGACATGGATTTACTGCAAGTGACTGTGTATTTTGTAGATGAACACGGCAGACAATTGGCACACAGCAATGTCCCACAAACAGCCATGAAGTGAGTAACCAATTAAAAGCAAAAGTACATTTTTTTTAAAAACTGAAAGACTGAACTTTAACCTGTGTATCTCTGAATTTTCTGAATGAGACTGCAAATCATGGGAAATGGGCGAGGAAACTTCAAGAGGAAACAAGCAGAGAGTTCAGCACTGTTACCATCAGTTAATGACTGGAACAAAGGGATACTGGAAAACAACAGAACAGCATATTTAAAAAAAAACAACTCTGCACAATACTGATCTGAACAGTACACTAAAAACACAAACCCTTCTTGCAGTTAAACAATTTAGATTTGCAAGAACTTACTAATCTTTAAAAATCAGCACTGAATCACATCTACAGGGATATTCAAAAAGTAGTAATTTACAGCAGTAGATGAACAAGGCAGGTAATGGGACTGAAAGGACTGCTCTTTCAAAGAACCAGCACGGAAATGATGGGCTGAAAGGCCCTCTTCTGTGCTGTAAATTTCCATGGTTCCAGGTCAATCGCTAGTTGTTTGTTACAACATAATTCACCAGGTTTTCAATACTGGAAACAAGTACAGTACTTTACTACAACCCATAGATCACTTGTTTTACAATTTTCTTCATTCACTTCATGTATGACCTAACCTACTGTTAACAATAAAATGAAATACTCTGTGTAAACCTCGACTGCTGTTATATTAGAAAATCTGTCTTTCACAGCAGTGATTCTAGAAGTGCTGCAGAGTAACAATGGTTATTACTGTGTATAACACAATCAGGAAGTGAGCACTGAAAATAACGTAAACCTGAAGATCTCGGGGAAATTTTCTTAACATCCTACTCTAAGTATCCTTACCAATAACACCACCTCTTGCATTTATATAGTGCTTTCACACAGGGTAACGTTTTGAAGCACTTAATAGAGAAGCTTGAGGGGTGAGCCGGGGAAAGAGGGGAAGTCACTGTAGATATGTTCGAAGAGGAAGGTCTTCAGGTGGGATTAGAAGACGGGCAAAGAGGGGGCAAGGTGGAGAGAGTTACCAGTACCTTATTGAATTTTCTGGCTTCTTGTAAGCAGAGAAAATGCTTTAGGATCCACCCAAGGGCCGATTTATTCATTTAAAAACAGCTGAAACAATTAACATTTACCTGTTCAACCGTTTTAAAAGCAGAAAGAGAAGAGGAAAGTAAAAGAGATCTGTTGGCCTGTTGGGCGTTGCAGAGAAGTGGTCTGAAAGAGGTGCAGTATCTTTAATCTAGTGCAGTTCACCTTTTTATCAAATAAATTCATTGTGCTGTCACATAATGATGCCGACAAACCCAACATCTCCAGCAACAGATGCTCAAACCAAAATGAATTGCCCCAATTACACATCAATTCCAGTTCCCTGAGTGCTTAGTGGAAACTCCCCTTCCAAGAACGGGCACCAACAGCAGGAAAAAAGCAAAAGGCTTTGTGCTGACATGATCCAGAGCAAAGCTGATCCCATTAATTACTCCCTTCAACTCCTGCATTGGAGAAAGAAAAAAAAACCTAGTGTAAATCAGGGAAACCTCAACAACCTGAAACGTTACAGCTGTAAGCATTAGTTTCTTCATTACCTGGTTTGTCCTCATTCTATATCATACAGCAATAGACTCACCCATCAGTCACAGGCTCAAATTCAACTATAGGAGCAATCTGGAGTTGATTTAATGCAGCGGTTCTTTCAACAGTAACCAACACTTTCATCCCAGGTGACCGTGATTCTAAAATGCAAGAAGAGTTCAACATTACCCATCAATTGTACAGTAAGCATTGCCAAGAGTTACAGGGCAGTTTTGATTGGTGCAACATGTGCTACTGATCTGAGTTAACAGCGAGCGAGTGAGCGAGTGAGCAGGAGGGTTGATCAGATAATTCAGGTGGAGAAAACCACCAGTTCTGATACAATGGGTTGTTGTCTGACCTACTTCTGTGCCTCAATATTCTTTGATTCTCTCCATGGTGGAGGGAACTTCCTCTGATCACAGTGTCATTCTGTGGCAATCTTCAGGTGGTTTGAAGGTGGTGTAGAAAGGAATTAGACTATTATCTTGCAGTAAGCTTTCCTACATTATCTTGATTTTAACTACCTCCCAAATTACTGTTAATTATGGTACTGTGTTTTGCCCACAAAATAGTCAAAAAAACACTTTACAGTGTATTCTGTGAAGCACTTTGAGACATCTCAATGATGTGATAAGAGCTATTTCAAATGCAAGGATTATTATCAAAAAAAGCAAGGATTTGTCCCCTCCAGTAACTTGTATATAAATTTGAGATCAAGTTATCCTCGTTATTCTTAAAACTATAAAATATTTTTGTGGGATTGGGCCCATTGTTCCTGGCTCCATATTTAACCTGCTTTAATTGTTCAGAAGAAACGTGCATCTTCAAAGAAAGGACTAATTGGCATTAAAAGACTTTGATAAATATACAGTCAATTTACTTTACAGTAACAAATAGAGAGAGCTGGGAAAACTCAGCAGGTCAGACAGCATCTATGGAGAAAGGAAAGTGAGTCAATGTTCTGACTAAGGGTCATGGAACCAAAACGTTGACTCACTTTCCTTTCTCCAAAGATGCTGTCTGACCTACTGAGTGTTCCCAGCAATCTCTGTTTTTGTTTCAGATTTCCAGCATCTGCAGTATTTTGTGTTTTGTTCACTTTACAGTATATTCTGTGAAGCGCATTGAGATGTCTCGAAGACGTGATAAGGCGCTATATCAAATGTTTGGATTATTATCTGAAGTTTTTTTTATTCAATACATGCTCTGAGTCTCTCTTTCCTACTTGCCCGAATTTGAGGTGTCAACCTATTGCTCCACACACAAGGAAAGGGTTAGCTGCTGCTCGCCACTACAGTTGTGCCAAGATGTTCCTCCACAATGCCCAACTTTCCTGTTCTGGGTCTCTCAGCAAAAATGTGTTTTCTTAAAGGGTTTGTGGTCTGCCACTTTCCAAATCATTGACAGGAGGGTCATTCCTGGGATTATCTTTATACCAACACAGCAGAATAAGGACACAGGTTTAGAGTTATAAGGGCAATTTCAGGACATTTTTTCTTTACCTATTAATGACTAGAACCAATTGCCCAGAAGGATAATTGAGGCCAGGATTGGAGACACACACACACATATATTTTGTATAATATATATATTTTGTATATATATATTATATATATTATATATATAAAAAGTTATATAATATATTATATATAATACACACACAAAAAGCTTGATGCTGTGATGGGAGGATGAGTATTCTAAAAGAGTTAGATGAGAGGCTGAAGGGCTTTCTTTCAATCATACAAATCTTGTGATTGTTTCAACTCAGTGGATACTACTTTTTCCAGGCAAAAGAGTTCTAAATATGCATCCCATTGCTTTTACCTGATGGTGAATTTAGTCCTTGTCCCAACAATTCGTAAGGGGAAATGTAGTACTCTAAGCTCATAAGACTGCCTGCAATGGTATAAAATAGTTAGTCATCAGGACCTTTTTGAGGAGAGTTCAAATAAATCTCACAACTGATGTGCAGGGCTACAAAACCTACAGTCTTAAGAAACCAACAGTCACATTACACTATAGACCATTTCAGAGAAGCTGACAACTTTGTTATAATGTTTATTAGCCATGTCAAGTATAAAGCAATGATTGATTCAAACAGTAAAATCCAGGAGGACAAAACTATGGATTCTTGTCTTTTTGAGAACATCAGTATTCCATATAGGAAACCCACGTGGTTTCCCTTGACTGACTCACAAGTCGCAATGAAGTCTGTGACAAATTTATCAATTATTGCAACTTGCAAATGTTGTATTCCTGGTAAGTTACTCTCACAAGATCAGTGCAGCCAGGAGCAACAGCTGATGGATGAGGGGAACGTCAGCGGGGGGAGAAATCAGATGGGTAAAGAGGTCATTTTTGCACATTTTATTTGCCTACACACCAAAGGGAACCTAAGAAGATGTCATTTGGCTCAGTTGGTAGCACTCCTGCTTCTGGGTCAGAAGGTTATTGGGACTCAAGCTCATAGCTAAGTGGCCTACAGATAAAATTGGTTATTCCTTCTCTCTCTCTCTTCCCATTCTCAAGCCACAACTGTTTGTGGGACACTGCTGTGTGCAATTGCCTGCAGGGTTTTGCCCACAAAATACACAATATATTCTGTGAAGTGCTTTGAGATGTCTCGAAGGCGTGATAAGGTGCTATATCAAATGCAAGGATTATTATTATTCACTTCATAGCCCTTTGTGGGACATTGCTAGGAACAAATTGGCTGTCATGTTCACTACTAAAACACCGTAAAGGGTGTTCACTACTATTACAGTAAAGGGCTTTGAAATGCTTCATAGTTATAAGCACTAAATCAAATGCAACAGTTTTATTATTATTATACGCAGTCCTCTAACGTTTGTCTCATCTCTCTGAAAAGAAGTTTCACCAAGTTTTTAAAACCGTGCTTTTGAGATTAGGAGGATGTAGCCATTACTTACTTCCACACCTTGGTGTAAGATACCCAACAGATCCACAGAGTATGGTGCAGAGTGTGCCAGCATTTCTTACTCGTCTAATATTAAACACAGAACACAAGTCAGCATCATTAGACTCCACAGCACCAAACCATGGGTTCAGCGTTGGATTCCTTATCAGCTGATTCTTTTTCCTTTGCACATCCAGACTTTTGGATGTTACTGAGTCAATCCCCTCCTCTGCCCGATTGTTGTGCAAATTGTATTTCCTTACATGACATCTCCTGGTTCTCAAAGTTTCTCATTAAATACAATTGTTCTCCATTTCATCCGAGAAGTTTGAATCAATCATTTCGTTTTGAACTGTCTCATTTTTAAATAATGCTTTTCTTTTGCAAACAAATGTTCAATCTGTGCACCTGGATTCCTTTGCTAACTAACACAGCCTCTATGATGGTTGAGCAAACAGTTAAGAGTTAGTCAGCAAATTATTTTGAAATACTTACATTTTTGTTGGTCTTACCTGTTCAGGACAGACATCGTGTTGAGATCAATCTCCAGAGACTTCAGAGCTGAATAAATGTTTGTCTCTACTTTCCTAAGAGAGGAAGCACAGCAAGTACACAAATACATTGCAAGGATTAAGCAGCGCAATGTGGATAATGTGAAGTTGCATGTTTAAAGTGCCATAGAATGAGATGCAGTACCTGTTCCCAGAGAAGTCATAGAGATCAGTCAGTCTCTTCAAATGCTTCGTGAATTCTGCAAAATCCTTTTGCCTGAATAAATGAATTAATACAAATTCGAAATCTCTACATCCGTCTTTCATGCTAAAATCACCTCTGAAAACTCATTGATTGCACCTTAAATCTGTACCTCCCTTCCCCCCATTTCCTTCTCCCACCATACTTGGATTCCCACTCTGTCTTTGTGATTTGTATCACTTAGAGATATTTTCCTACATTGGTAGAAACTGTATAATTGCAAGTTGCTGATGGTTTTGCAAGGTATTGTAAAATATGAATGAATGTAGTATGTGCTTAGCTAGGAAGCTAAAGTAGGGATGAAACAGATAGGGCCCCCCAACAGTTTGGTGTTTAACTGAGGAATTAGGTAAGGTTCTGCTAATGGTGGGATGTTTCCTTGAGGGATGCAGCTGGAGCAGATAGTGTCTTCCAACAGTTGGGTGTTTCTCACTGAGGCATTCGCCCTGAGGTGCCCTAAGTGATTTAGTTCCAGGAAGAGAGGCCAAGAGAGATAATTCCAGGAATGAAGGTTGAACAAGAGGGGCTGTGACTAACATGCCAGTTAAGATACATTGACAAAGGATAACCAACAAGATAAACAGATGGAACAAGGACAGCAGTCATGATTAGAATGATGCATGGCAGTCCGAGAAACAAGGAACAAGTCAGGAATAAAGGATAGAGAACGAGAGAGTTAGGGTCCCTTGGGGGGATACAGAGAAGAGGTGTTTGAAACGCTCTGAGATGCTATCTTGCGTGAAGGGCGCTATATACAAATGCAAGTTGTTGTGGTTGTCTGTGTTGGGAACTATTGATTGATACTGGCAGTCAATGCTTCAGTTATTGAAACTCTGTAGGTTCTTAATGTATAAGATTGCATGTTGTGTTAAAGTTCATCTTAAGTATTGCATATGTGTTACAGTTTTTTTTATTTTTGGTCGTTGTGCTGCTTTTGGTAAATACTGTTTACCTTGGACTATGTTATAAGTGTGAGCTCATATAAATACCCCACCTTGGAAGCTAGGGAAACTATTATCATGAACAATCTGCCACTATCTAGGAATGCAAATTTACTTACCTTAAAGACTGCAGCAACACTTGACAGCTCTAAGATGAAGGAAAATATAATTTATCTGAAGAATAAACAACTACATTGATTAACACAGATGTGAAAATGTGAGTGATAGCTTAAAATTTCCTCCCTTTCCATAGGGCAGAAGCAATAAAGTATCTAACAAACCTTCCTCTCCACACACACACAAAAAACAATTAGTCCTGAAGTACACATTATGTTGTAAATCCAAGACAGTCTGCTGTCATTCACAAAGTCAAGTAAGCTTTGTGAAACATCATAATGAAAGAGAAAGGAGATGCTGCAAACACTGGGCAACAAGGATTTTTTTTTATCCGCAGCTGAAAATAGGTTTTCAACCAGCTATGCCCTAAACTACATTTACATCTAGATTATAAACAGATTCTATCACAAGTTGACTACAATGCAACAAAAAGAGCACACGATTTACTGCAGACTAACGGCAGACCTTACCTCAGGGTTCTCACCCAAGTGAGCCACTTTGACATCCTGCACTTCCCCACTGGGCTTCAACTGGACCTCTAGGTAAAACAGATCTGAGGTGATGTAACACTCAGTGCCTGTAGCACTCAGGTGAGAGCAGAGTCTGGAAGCAAAGGGAGCAAGGAGAAAACACAATATTTTACTTTAAACCCCAAATAGTTGCAGTTTTAACTCAAATATAGCATGGCTATGTTGGGTATGAAGGCAAGGTTAGTCATGGAGTTATCCACATTGTTGTAGTCTGGGACAAAGTTGGGGCCAAAAACACCAGCTTATTCTATTAGTCAAAATGTTATATTAGGAACCCGTAAATAGAGGAACAATGTCACTTGCATTTTATATTTAAACCTTGTTTACTTAATAAAGCAAAAAAGTTGCATCGGTTCAACAACATAGCAGCAATAGGCAGGGTTATGACAAACAATATTTGCTGCAATGCTCATGTATATCAATGTTACCGCAATTACAATATTAAAGTCAATATCAAAGTCCATAAACAGTAGGGAAATATCTTTTGCTTGGGTTTGTTTGAAGGAACAGCCAGTAGTGGAATTAACAACTCTGTTGAGCCTGGAAAGCACTGACAGTAATAGTGTTAACTCTCTGTTGAGCTGGGAATAGGGGGCCATTGAATCAAAGAGCCAAAGGTCTCATCTCTGGAACGTTGATAATAGCAAGTGTTGAATCAAAGGACAAAAGTTGAATCTCTAGCAGTTGTGTTGCAGTTGTATTCTTGGATCATCGCAGTTCTTCTATTCTTGTTGTCTTTTGCTTTTTTCCTGGAATTGCAGGAACAGTTGAGGTCGAGTGGTTTGAGTCGCAAAACCTGGAGTGGAAGTTCTGCCTTCCTGGAGGAGGGGAAATAGTCGCTCTCTCACTGACTCGAACTGAACACTTGGGATGATCAATTCTGACTGAACGAAGCATAGCTAAGCTATACCTCTTTGATAATTGTCTTTTTTTAAAAAAATATTAGGATGGTCCGTGCAAATCTACATGATCTCATCCACCTGATATGTGTTTTCATGCTGGTTTATACAAACTGGGACTGTCCTTGGGTACCCATGAGCTGATTCTAATCAAAACAATGTAGGACCATTACATCAACAACTCACAAGAGAGCTGCAGCTGTAATAAACACATTTTGTACTTTTTATTTTATTTAACTGTTCAACCAACAAACACACACACACACACACACACACATAGGTGACATACATCATGGTTAGACAAACTCTACAATTCAGCTGACTCTGATTTGGCTTATTAGTCTACAAATCATTCCAATACAGACTAATGATTGCATAAACATTTCTAACTGAACTAAAAATAATATTTTAAGCAATATATTTTGGATTGTAACTACTTCCACAATTCAATATTACTCCTTTTAAGAGGGTTTAGGAATACATCGGGCAGACATCTCAGTTAATTTCTGCTAAATCAACATTTATTGCCGTGTGGCACTTGATCAAAAACAGTCGAAGAAATTCAATGGACCACTGAGACAGTAAAATACCTTCCCAGACTCGACCCAAGGTGGTTGCAACTGAATTCACAGAGTGAAGTTTTGGGCGTCTACAAAACACACAGTAACTGCACTTTACAGTACATCCTGGAAGCGCTTTGGGACGTCATCCTGACATAAAAGATTCTATACCAAATGTAAGGTTTATTATTTATCATTATTAACATCATCATCAAGTACAGCCCTCATTCATTTCCATTGGAAGATCATAGTTTACAAATCAAAGATCAGTCATGGAAAGACACCAAAGCTAACTTGAAAGCCAATATTCCAAATTGTTACAAAAAATAATTGAACTTTGTGGACATCTTATCCAGAATTATATATTTTTTCTCATCTAAAGCAGCATAAAGTGTTTATTATAGTTATAGTTTTCACATCTTTATGTTTATCTATTTTACTCTCAACTTCTTCATTGCCAAAATGTATGTGTCCAGTGGTAATGTATGTTCTTGCAACTTGACAGTGCAACTGTTTCAATAGGACAGTGTTATGACTTGGTGGATCTGGAGCAGTTAAACTGCATTTTGTACTTTGGGTGAATTTGCTATTGTTGCTGTCTTTCATTATGGTCCAGGCTTAAATTATTTCAAAAAATGCAGAATTTGGCTAGTTCTTAAATGTAGTGTTAATTTTGAAGCCAGGCTCTTTTAGGAACTACAGAATAGTGGCTTCAAAATTAACACTACATTTTTTTTTAAAAAGCCAAATTCTGAATGCTTTGAATGTTGTGATGCTTAACTTGTGTAAGTTATTAGTTAGATCACAGTTAGAGTATTATGTCCAGTTTTGCACTTGAGTGTGCAAAACCCCACTTTAGGAAAGATTTACTAGAATGACATACTAGGATGAGTAGTTTAACCCATGAGCAGAGACTAAATGAACTGGGCCTATTTTTACTGGAACAGAGAAGATAGAGGGGTGATGTTGCAAGTCTTCCCTTTTTGCATTCACTTTTGTTTTGAGTAAGGTCTTGGGACACAAGCCCACTTTACAAGGCAAAGGTGTGTAAAGTACAAGGTATAGGTGTGACTACAAGTCACTTCCAATGGTTCTTACCCATTCTCTCTTGCTAGAAGCTCTAGTCGGTCTACCATGGCAGACAAAGACGCAACTAGACAAAACAGAAAAATAGACCATTTTTATTGAATTATACCTAAAATACAATTTGTTCAAGTGTCTCAGGCATTTAAGGGTACATTGGGACTTGGCATGGGACTTGTACACATCTCATCTTGTATGAATACAACATTGAAAATTTTACTTTACAACACATTCTTTGATTAATAAGAATACCACTGATGCTTTCACTGACGTAATAAGACGCTATATCAAATGCAAGGATTATTATTATTTTTCGTCACTCCAAATGCTCTCACCATTTAAAGCCTTTTGCAGTGTCTTTAAACTGCACACACACAGGCTCTCACCAATGTTTCCAGTACCAGTGTGCTTATCCTGCAAAGAATTCGGAAAAAGAATTTACCACAAAGTAACTGTATTAATCCTTACTAAGAAGTGATATTTTGTCCAAAAAGAATGTTTGTTACAACATGGCGGATTTTGGACTTGGATTTGATTCAGCTGAAGAAGGATCAAAATTTAAAGTTCAATTACAGATGAGAGAACATTGATTTCCAGCTTCCAGCATGTGCAAGATCTACATTCATAGACAGTCTATGTGGTCGCAACTTATAACCATGCCTGAGTTTCCTCATCACAAGATGACATATAATGGTCACTAGTGATAGAATTCAAATCATACTAAAGCAATAATTACCTGTAATAATGGCCAGCATTATATACCCCACATGCTGCCGTGGATTAGATGGATATATGCGCAGGAGAACATGTACCCCTTTCCAATTAGATTTATGATACATGTATGATTTTTATCCAATATGAACACTTTTGCAAATTAATCAAAGACCCACAGTTCAGGCTCGTTCCTCAAATGTTATTGTTCTAACCCAATGGATGTGGAATACAAGTCAAAAGAAAAATCAAAACTTCCTCACAAAAAATACATCACCAGTAGTCTTGCTAATGTTTATATAATACAAAACTGTACATACAGCTGAGCAAGCATGTAACAGTGAGCTTGATATTTACAGCACAGACAATTGGCTGAGTCTCAAATCTACAGAGATCTACTTGATCCAGGTTCAGATAGATTCAGTACCGTGGTAGGAGGAGTCTGTGGTACTTGTACACATCTCATTTTATGTTCAGGTTCAGTCTTCAAATTCTGCATTCCCCAGTTCTTCAAGGTGTTGGATGCAGGATTGTCCACAAATTATATATCAGTTAAAGCAAGATTAAACTGATGCCAATCAACTAAATGGTGTAATCTATCTGCCAGTTGAGTATAGATGGTATTAATATGATATTCCCACCCTACCCCACTGTAGTTCAAGAAGGAAAATAAAGTAGTATGTATGGTGTTGAATAACATGCAACATTTGCAAGTAAGACTATTTGTTAATCAACTATTTGCAAAAGATATAAATAATAATTCTTCCAAAGATCAGAATTTTATGAACTATTTTTTTCCCCCAATGACAGATTTATAATTTTGTGAGTTTCTAGTTGGGGATCCACTCAAAATTATTTATTCACAAACATAAAGTACCAATGCTCACCATAGTGTACCGGACAACTTTCAGAAACTCGCTCCATGGTTTTTCACGGTGCTTATTCCGCACGTTTTCCATCAAAGAAGTTTTAGATATTCGATCAATGTCTGCAAAACAAATGAATTATATTCTTGTTGCATTCTATAACAATAACTGAGGTGACATCTTGAGACAGATTTTGATAGTTATGCACTTGGTAAAAAGCACATTCAAAGTACATCAGCCTCTTTTGGCTCAAGCGTTGCTCAGAATATTTCTTTGACACAAAAATCTAAAATGCTTAAAGAGAAGATATATTCTACCAAATAAACCTAAATAAAGTCAGTCCCTGGGCATTTATATGGCACCCCACATGCAGGCTAGGGGGAAACTAAAACAAGTAGCAGTAGCAAGGACATGATGCACCAGTGGCTTCTTTCTGTGCTGGAAATATCAGTTTCTGTGTTCTAATTTAAGCTGAATTTAAGAATTTTCCACAATTCTGCACATTCTTAAATTTTAAGGTAAAATTGGGTGGAATTTCATGCCTCGAGTGTGTGAACATAAAGTATTCTGTAACCAGTCATTAGAATACACCTTCACCTAAGGGCTTTGTGCATTGTACAGAATGAATGGAGCCATCCAACAACAAGTACAGCCCTCCTCTGAATTGATACTATATTATTCATAGCCTATCCTCCCTCTACCCCTCCCCCTCTATCAATCTTTAAGACTTACCTTAAAACTTACTTATTCGAACACACCTGCCTTCCTCAGCTTGACCCAGTCTTTATAATGCTCTGAGACATTACCCTACACACAGGGCTATATAAAATCACAAGATGTCCTTGTTCTGGATAGCGTCACACACACACACACATATATATATACTCTTGCCGAGCTACCACGCCTTTTTGATGCTGGTAACAATCGGACATTCCTCCAGCTCTTCAAAGTTAGGGAAGTAATCAATTTTTGGGGTACAGTTTAGTATGACAAGAGCTGCAGAACCAGCTGTGCAGTATCACTGCGGAACAGGGAGAACTCCTCCACTGCAGCACACAGTGCAGCACAAACCATCAGCACTCCATCCTTGACTACACACGTTTTGGGGTTCAGGCTCCTTTCCACAAGGAAACAACACCACAGGATCAGGTCCATATGTCCTTCAGACCAGAGCAGAGGTGAGTGGGAGGCCACGCCATTGGGGCGTAATATTGGTTTAGTTTGAATTTTTTTTAAATATAGATGTTAAAAAGGGTTGTCATTTGGTTTTGCTCAGCAAATATTAGTTCACAGCAACAAACTAATCAACCAACGCCCTTTTAGCCTTAATAAACCAACGCCCTCCCAGAGGGTGAAAGGCAAAGGCAGGTGGTTCTTGTCGCTGTTAGGAAACAGCTGGTGTTCAGTGTAGCCAGAGATTTGAGGACCCTTGTAGCCCAGACGCCGCCCAATAATAGCCCAAATGTAGCTCAATATCCAGCGTGTCCTCCTCTGGTGGGTAGGGGTAGCACAGTGACCGATTTAGGTCAGTGCTTTTGAATCTAGCTAAGAAAAGGTCTTTTTGCTGATTTAAATTAAAAAAAATAAGAATTAAGCAGCCGCCCAAAGTGAAACAAAAACACGCCCAATTGGGCATGAACCCGCCCAACCTTGGCTGCTCTGGACCCCGCTGCGTGTGTGTGACTTGCTCCCCAGTCACTGCAGCTGTGAGAGCCTCAGCTCCTCTCTCTCGCTCTCCCTGTGCTCACTCCTCCCACACTTTCTCTGCTGCTTGTAAACACCCAAACACACATATCTATCCACTCTGAGCCGACCTTTAGCTGTGAAAGCAAATATAAAGATTATTATTGTTATCAAATCCTTCCCTTGGTGACTCTTCTCTTTGAAGCCACTTCTTGAAAGAGATCTTAAGTCAGATAACTTCATAGGGGAGAGGACACAGCAGAGAAATATTGCGTGATCTGGAATCAAATTTAGATTTCAGATATTAACATAAACAAACTTTGATCAGATTCCAATTATAACTTAATATATTAAGTTTCTCTTAATGCTACATTTCATTAACAGTCTCCTAATACCAGGACAGGATTAATTGCACTGCCTTTGCACAGTTGGGAGAGCTGCTTAAAACAGACCTTAGAAAAATACTTAATACTGTATTCTGCTGTGCCTTGTGCTCCCCCGCAATTAAGTATGTTCTAACCTGACTTGCTGGGGTTTGAATGGGGAGTTGTACCCAAAGCAACACTCGGGATGTGGCATAAACCTGGAAGACTGACCAGGTCATCAACACTTGCGGTGAGAGTTTAGTTATTTGAATATAATTGAAAGTGAAGCCATGCCATTTTGAGGCTAAAAGAAACAGACGGTGAAAAAGGACACACTATTTTCATGAAGTCCATCTTGAAATTGCATGGCATGGAACTGATCTGAGCGCAGGAGGAATATCAGCGCCTTGGGACGATCTCCTGATGTGAGGGGCACAATATAAATTGTTGTTGAAGAGATGGGACCAGACTGTAATCTGACAAAAGGCGTGACTACTTTATCACTAAGCAAATATCAGGAAATAAAGCTGGTGATAGTGATGTGAAAGATCAAACCGAATAACACAAGATCTCACCGACAGCACAGAAACAAACGGTGGTCTATTGGCTAAAACAGAGAGCAACTGGATGAAAACATACAGCAAGAACTAGCAATCACTTTGTTTGAAGGCGTTATTTTTTGTTTTGTAAATAATAACTGTGCTGCAGTAGAAGTAATGTGATTCAGAACATGTTTGGCAATCTGATAATGTGTTGGAAGTTCAAAAAAAAGATTTGATTAAAGTCTGTTACAAGAATAGTGGAAACCCCCTGTTAAGAATTACTCATGTACAAATGGTTAGATATGTTATTTATCACTTCCTTTTTAGGATCTTTCCAAGTTCCCCTTTTCTCTTTACTTTCCCTTTCTTCAATTTATTCAATGATAAATATGGTAAACAATTGTCACTGTGAGAAAGTGAAGAGGATAACTGGGCCAACATAATAATCATCCTTGCATTTGGTACAGTGCCATTCAAGTCAGGCCATCGCCTCACAGGATTTACAGTCAAGTGAAATTACTATGTACAGCCCTGTAGCTCAGTGGTTAAAGCATTACCTTGCAAGTGAGAAACCTGGGTTTGATTTCCGGCAGGGCAAAGGTTGGGCAAGTGTCCTTACTCCACATGCCTCTGTTTACCTAGCAGTAAGTAGGAACCCGGCTGTTAGCCATTTGGTGGATCACTTTTCCGGGATACTAATTTCTTCAAAAAAAATAATACATTGGTCACTCAATCCACGACTATTTGTGGGACACTGTTGTGCGTAATTGGCTCACAAAATATACAATCAATTCACTTTGCAGTGTATTCTATGAAGCACTTTGAGACGTCTCGAAGACGTGATAAAGTGCTATATCAAATGCAAGGATTATTATTACTATTTGTAGGCAAATGTAGCAACTCCCACAAATGGTCATGAAACAAAATGACCAATTTTATTTGGGGGATTCTTGGCTAGGACACCGGGGAAACTGCCTTCTCTTTTCAAGTAGTGCCATGCAATCTTTAATGCCTTGAAAAGATGTATCAGATTGGCGCAGTGGTACCACTCTCACCTCTGAGCCAGAAAGTTGTGGGTTCAAATCCCACATCTAATTTGAAATTCCAATGTAGCACTGGAGGTGTGTTGCATTGTCAGAGGTGCCATCCTTCAGATGAGATATTAAACCAAGGTCCCATTTGCTTATTCAAGTGGATATTAAAGATCCCTTGGTGCTATTCAAAAGAGAAGGGAGTTTCTCCTGGTGTCCTGGCCAGGTTTCTTGGTCACCAGCAGCCCACCCCACACGTCAACCAAACTGTCATCATTCTTCATGCGTGAGCCTAGCCTGCAAGCTTTCAAACATGAGGTGCATTACAATCACTGTGTATCCTTTTTCAAGTTGGGAGAGTCTGAAATATCAAAAATGGAAAAACTGAGGGAATAGAGTCAAGAAGAGTGGGGGCGCCAGCATTTATAATTTTTTTAATCTCCATAGAATTCTGGGGCGTATCAAAATAGGAATCAGTAGGAAATTTGCTCATTAGACAGCAAACTTAAGTCTCAGCAGTCTCCTGAGCTTATTTACACAGAGCTTACCCACATCACTTCAATCAGTGGAGTAAATTAGAGTGGTAGGCTGCACTATTTCCTGCTTTTGCCAGAGGCAAGATGACAAAGAGTTCATCATCCAGACAGAGGAGGTAGAAGACAGGGAGAGAAATTAAGGGCATAGTCCCTTTAGGAGGTAGGCTCATGTGGGCTGGCATACAATAACACACATGCAGTGATCTTTGAAGCAGAAGAAAGTGGAAGAAGTATCATGTATTGTAAGAAATAATTTATTGAAATTATCTGTAGCTCCAAGCATTCTGAACAAAAAGGTATGGAGTTTAGTAGAAATACAACATTTAAAAAAAGGAACAAAGAGTAACCTTATTTATCCTCCAATATGTGTTAGTGCCGAAACCATGTGAACGTTTATTGAACATAATTTATGTTAACAAAATTTTTTAGGTCTATGATACCGAAGCACAGATTTGTAAAGGACTCCAATGCTGCAGGCTCATCTTTCAAAATAAACCCATGGGAAACTTCTTAAAGCTAGTCACCGAATTAGACAGACCCATTTTTTGGTGGAATGGGCTTTTACCCTACCTAGGGGTTCTTAACCAGAAGTTGACAAAAACAAATACATTTTAATTTTAAAAAATCAACCCTTTTCAAAACAGTGTTTGCCTAGCATTACCATTTCTCTAGAATTCTGTCTCTAGAAGAACTTGTGCTTACATAGCACATTTTACATAAAATAATCTGAGTCAAATTGCTTCATAGAGACAGTGTGATAACCCAAGCAAGGTGGGAAATGCAAGGAGAGAGGCAATCAAGCAACCAAACCAAGCAATCTGCTTTCATAATCATTCCCAAACCGTCCCTCTTGATCAAAGAAGGACGGTTTGAGAATGATTATGAAAATAGGGAACGCATAAGTGGTTGGGTAGGAGAGACCAAGGATGGGGCTGGAAGAGATTGCTAAGGTACAAGGAGGGCTGAGGGTGTGGAAAGAATTGAAAGTTAGAGTAAGAATCTTGAAGTTGATTCACTGGGGACAGGAAGCCAGCAGAGTCTGGTGAAGATAGGAGTGAATGGTGTCAGAATCTAGTGCAGGAGAAAACATAATAATAATCCTTGCATTTGATATAGCACCTTATCACATCTTAATGACATTCCAAAGCGCTTCAGATACTTAATTTAAAGTACAGAAGAAGGCCATTCAGCCTTTTGAGTGAGGCACCAGCTCTCAGAGCAAGTTGTTCATTCATTCGTAGCCTGCCACTGAAAGCACTGTCTGGTAAGCTTCCCATAATAATAATATAATAATAATAATCCTTGCATTTGATGTCACGCTTTTCACGTCGGGAGGACGTCCCGAAGCGCTTCACAGAACACACTGTAAAGTGAATTGACTGTATATTTGTGGGCGAACGCGGCAGCCAATTGCGCACAGCAATGTCCCACAAACAGTCGTAGATTGAAAATGACCAATTTAATTATTGTTTTTGGTTTTTGGAGGGATTATTATTAGGCCATGTCCAGCTAGGTCCACTCTATCCATTAGGGCTTTGCCCTGCCGAGTTAACAGGAGCTGAGTGGGAAAAATCCCTTTTCCAGTCAGCTTTGATACGGTCCTGGAGATGAGTTTAAATGACAATCATATTAAACATGACAAGAGTGACACAGCTGATGTACCCTAATACCAATGTCAAAAGATCTTGAAAGAATATATATCACAACTGAGTCAATGACTAGGCTAACTCCAGCAGTAGGTAGATACATTGCCTGATGTATGCTACATAAAATATATAATAATAATAATCCTTGCATTTGATATAGCGCTTTTCAAATCTTCGCGACATCTCAAAGCGCTTCACAGAATAGACTGTAAAGTGAATTGACCGGATATTTGTGTGCAAAACGCGGCAGCCAATTGCGCACAGCAGTGTCCCACAAACAGTCGTGGATTGAAAATGACCAATTTATAATTTTTTTTGGAGGGATTATTATTAGGCTCTGTGTG